ACACACACACACACACACACACACACACACACACACACACACACACACACACACATACACACACAAGTACGCTCCGCTGATGTCCACTTTTATCGAGAGAAGTGCAAAGGTTTACTATTTTCTATTTTCCTTTTTGAGATACAAGCTCGAGAGATAAAAGACAACTCGTCTCTTTGTCTCTCTCTCTCTCTCTCTCCCTCTCTCTCTCTCTTTCTCTCTTCCCTCTCTCTCTCTTTCTTTCTTTCTTCTCTCTCTCTCTCTCTCTCTCTCTCTCTCTCTTTTCTCTCTTTCTTCTTTCTCTCTCTTTCAAGTAAAAAATGAAGGAGTAAATGCCTTATAAAGCGAGAGATAGCATTTCGATTTATTCTGTACTATTTTGTTCTTGCTTTGGTTTATTTCACTAGGTCATGAGAACTACATGTATTAATCTTATTTTGTGATGAGGTGAACAGGCTGAAAAAAACACCTAAAACAAAAATCTCAACAAGTAAAAATCCGACTCTACCAACCCCACCCCACGATCCCAACTAGGACTCGAGTTTTCAAGGTTCTCCACCTTTTTTGTGTTGGACTATCGGAGATGGGTTGTTAGTTTGTTGTTTCTTGCTCGGAGGTCCCGCTGGCCTCTTAGATTACTGTCTTTGTAGGGGCGTCAAACCCACACAACACTCTGGGTTTGTTTGTTGGGGGGGTTTTTTTTTTGGGGGGGGGTTAAAGTTTTAGTAGAGATTTTACCGCGCCCGCAACTGCATAAGGTCATATGAGCGTCAAGGCGTGGATGTCTACAGAGAAGTCCTTACAGGGAATCAGACTTACTTTGCTCACCTCTCTTGCTTCAACAGCACAAAGTCTGCTTCGACTATCAAGGCACCCCGGAAAGAGCGGGTCACAAGAGATTGACAAACATACAAAAGAAGTAGAGGAAAATTGACGATAGCAAGGATGAGGAAAGAAAAGCAGCAGGTCCCTGTTGCAATTCAGACACAGTTTTGAGTGTGACATCGATGAATCAGCCCATTTACAATTTTACTGTGCAACAGAACTTGGTAATGCCCCCCCCCCCCCCT